TCTTCAAATAACATTCAGCTGAATACTTTTAAATGAAGCTGATCATTGAGTTAAATGTGCTCTTTTATTAGAAATGAACCGCCCCACATCCAGAACTGCTGCATATGCCAAATATGAAATAGCAGCAGTTCAAATGTTCCATTCTGTTCCTGTACTTTGTTTTTGTGTTATTTATGTAGAATATTTTATTGTTTGTGTCTGACGTGGTGGTGGTGTGTTTGTGTGTGTTGTGCTGGTGAGAGTGGATCAGACGCAGCAGTGCTGCTGGAGTTTTTAAACACTGTGTCCACTCACTGTCCACTCTATTAGACACTCCTACCTTGTCAGTCCACCTTGTAGATGTAATCAGACGACAGCTTATCTGCTGCTGCACAGTTTGTGTTGGTCATCCTCTAGTCCTTAATCAGTGGTCACAGCACGCTGCCCACAGGACACTGATGGCAAGGTGGACTGACAAGGTAGGGGGGTCTAATAGAGTGGAAAGTGAGTGGACACAGTGTTTAAAAACTCCAGCAGCACTGCTGTGTCTGATCCACTCAGACCAGCACAACACACACTAACACACCACCACCATGTCAGTGTTACTGCAGTGCTGAGAATGATCCACCACCCAAGTAGTACCTGCTCTGTGAGGGTCCATGGGGGTCCTGACCACTGAAGAACATGGTAAAAGGGGGCTAACAAAGTATCAGAGAAACAGATGGACTACAGTCTGTAACTGTAGAACTACAAAGTGCACCTATATAGTAAGTGGAGCTGATAAAATGGACAATGAGCGTAGAAACAAGGAGGTGGTCAGAATGTTATGCCTGATCAGTGTGCATATATACATATATATGTGTATGTGTGTGTGTGTGTGTGTGTGTGTGTGTCAAACACTATGTTCATTATATTATATATATATATATATATATATATAATATTATGTTCATTATATTCATTTTATAATTAGAATCAGATTCATTCAATCATAAATATATATATTAATTAGTTAATTAATATTTATTACACATTCATCATTATTATTTATCATAATATTTATAGTCATAATCAGACAGAAAAAAATAATAAATTCTGTCCAGTTCCATCAGCAGCACCTGGTTTAATTTAAAGTAGTATTAATTAGATAAACCAGGTATGGGATAACTGTAAATACTGGACCTCTTCAAAGAGAGATGGCATTAACATACATAAAATCACTGCTTACTGTATTAATATTATTAGTACTTATTCTAATGCTAAGACGTTTAATTATAATAAATAAAGAGTTTAAGCTCAGGATTAAACTGAGATTATTTAAGATGGTGCGTTTATTTAAATGTACTGTATTTATTTAAATGGACAGCAACTAATTAAATAAATGGACAGAAACTGCCAGGAGACCCTCAGTATTCCCTAATAGAGTTTACCCCCCCAGCCCCCCACAAAGGGCAATTCCATTTCCTCCTTTAACCCCCACATCCAGCTCTCTCTCTCTCTCTCTCTCTCTCTCTCTCAGTTTCGTTTAAATTATAGTTTATTCTCTGCGGGATCTGCTGGAATGCGCATGCGCTGATCACCTGGGCGCAGGTAGAACAGCTGGGTGCTGCTACACGCGCATCTTTACAGAGCTCCACTGGTTTATACGTGCCAGCACTATGCACAACCGCGCACGCGCAGCAGGACGATCTATAGCATATATGTATGTGATATATGTATATATGTGATATATAACGTGTCTGGTTATAAAAACACTTCACAGTGTGTGTGTGTGTGTGTGTGTGTGTGTGCGTGTGTGTGTGTGTGTGTGCGTGTGTGTGTGTGTGTGTTCTGCCTGCATTTTATTAATGAGTTTATCGCGCTCGCCTCTCATACTGTTCATACGGTATGTATTTAAATATTTAAATATCTGTATTTGCATAAACGCGATCACTTTTTATCACATTAGTCACGTGAATTCTTTGTATTTATATGTTTTGTTTGTTTTGTTTGAATTTCTCTCCAATCACAGACAAATAACCAGCAGCAGAGTGACCGATTGTGTCTGTTTTGTTTGTGTTATTAGTTCAGCATTGGTGATCGATCCACGATCACTGTTATTAACATTAGCGCACGCGGCTGATTGTGCAGGTCCTGCTGAACTGGTTAAATAGATCTGCTCTTTATCTCTTTATCGCTCTCAGGTATATATATATATATATATATATATATATATATATATATATATATATATATATATATATATATAGTGATTTTCACTATTATTTCCTGTTTTATCTACACAGTATGGCTACTGTAAGGCGACTTTTTTGTGCGCGCGCTGTCTTTGATCGTAGAAATTTCTTCTGCAGCGCAAATTGCTCAATAAAAAACAGGAATTAAAACATCTAAAACAACACACAGATAATAATAATAATAATAATAATAATAATAATAATAATAATAATAATAAATCCCCGTTTTCCCCGAGGAGCGGAAGTGGAGGAGAAACAGAGAAGGACCAGGATGAGAGATGGAGAAGGTGATGAAGATAAAGATGATGGTGATGAGAATGAGGATGAAAAAGATGATGACAGTGATCATCATGGTGATAAGGAGGATGACACTAACAATGGTAATGATGGTGGTGATGATAGGGATGATCATGTGATGAAGATGGTGATGGTGATATTGGCGATGATGTGCTGGCAATGATAGTGATGACAGTGACAATGGTAATGGTGATGATGATGATGACAATAATGCAGATGATGATGGTGATTATGACAGTGACAGTATAATAGTGATGATAATGGCGATTATGACTGACAACAGTAATGGTAACAGTGATGATGGTGATAATGGCGATAATGTGCTGCCGATGATTGTGATAATGACAGTGACAATGGTAATGGTGATAATGATGGTGATGACAATAATGCAGATGATGATGATAATGGCGATGATAGTGATGATGATGATAATGGCGATGATAGTGATCATGACAGTGAAAATGGTGATGATGATTATGATGACGATGGTGATGGTGATGGTGATCATTACAGTGACAATGGTAATAGCAATGGTAATGATGACGATGACAATGACAATGACATGACGATAACAACAGTGATGGTTATTATGACAGTGACAATGGCAATGGTAATGGTGACAATGATGATGATGGTGATTATGACAGTGAGACAATAGTAATGGTGATGGTGGTGATGATGAAGATGATGATGGCGATCATGACACTGAGACAATGGTAATGGTGATGATGGTAGTGGTGATTATTTGTGACTATTATGGTGACTAAGATAATTGCTGATGATCATTATGATATGGTGATATGGTGATGTATGTTATGGTGATATAGTGATGTATGATATGGTGATATAGTGATGTATGATATGGTGATATAGTGAGGTATGATATGGTGATATAGTGATGTATGATATGGTGATATGGTGCTGTATGATACGGTGATATGGTGCTGTATGATATGGTGATATGGTGCTGTATGATATGGTGATATAGTGATGTATGATATGGTGATATAGTGATGTATGATATGGTGATATGGTGCTGTATGATATGGTGATATAGTGAGGTATGATATGGTGATATGGTGCTGTATGATATGGTGATATAGTGATGTATGATATGGTGATATGGTGCTGTATGATATGGTGATATGGTGATGTGTAATATGGTGATATAGTGCTGTATGATACGGTGATATGGTGATGGGTGATATGGTGATGATGGTGTGTCTTCTGTGCTGAGGCTGGATCTCTTCAGTTTGTGTGGAACTGGAAGTGAGGATTCAGTTCATCTCAGTTCAGACCCCTGGAGACAGGGGGTCTGGGGGCATTATGAGGATTTAGAGGGGTTTGTGGGGGGTGCTCAGACTCACAGAGTTCATGGGGGGGCTGGACTCAGACTGTCCAGCAGTGTCCATAGATTCGTAATCCACAGCGTTGAGGTGAAACTGACTGCTCTCACAGACACGCGTACACAGTTTGTATGATCTCCACAGAAAAGCACTGACCAACAGGACGGGTCACTGCAGAGCACTTTCAGAGCCTCTGAGTCTGAGACTTCTCTTCACCTCTCTCTCTCTCTCTCTCTCCTCTCTCTCTCCCTCTTTTTCTCTTTTTCTTCCCATCTATTTCTCTCTTCCCCCCCTCTCTCTCTGTCTCTCTCTCGCTCTCCTCTTTTTCTCTTTATCTCCCCATCTATCTCTCTCTTCTCTCTCTCTGTCTCTTTCTCTCCTCTTTTTCTCTTTTTCTTCCCGTCTATTTCCCTCTCCCCCCTCTCTCTCTGTCTCTCTCTCGCTCTCCTCTTTTTCTCTTTATCTCCCCATCTATCTCTCTCTTCTCTCTCTCTCTCTCTCTCTCTCACTCTCTCCTCTTTTTCTTTTTCTCCCCATCTATTTCTCCCCCCTCTCATCTTTTTCTCCCCATCTTTTTTCTCTTTTTACTCTTTCTCTCTCTCCTCTTTTTCTCTTTTCTCCCCATCCATTTCTCTCTTTTCCCTCCGCCTATCCACACCTCTCTTTCTATCCTTTTCTCTCTTTTCCTTGCTGTACACAGCCTTCTCTCTTCCTTTCTCCTTCTTCTCTCTGTCTTCCTCCTCTCTCTGTTCTCTTTTCGTCTGCCTCCCCGTCTCTCTCTCTCTCTCTCTCTCTCTCTCTCTCTCTCTCTCCTCCCTCGTCGTCACTTCCTCTCACCTGCGTGCAGCGCGCATCGTGTGCTTTTCTGCCCCGGTGACGTCACGCGCCCTGCAGTAGGGGTGGATGGATGGAGCGAAGAGAGAAACACACACACACACACATACACGCACACACACACACTCCCACACACACACGCGCGCACGCACACGCACACCCACACACACACTCACACTCACACGCGTACACCGTCCCGCACCGCACGAGCCTTTGCCGGCTGGAGCGCGCGAGGAGGAGCGGAGCACGAGCGGCAGCTTGAGGAGCGCGAGCGCGGGACAAGCGCGGAGCTTTACGGGAGAGCGGGAGGAGGAGCGGCCGGAGCGCGAGGATGATGATGCAGCGCGCGGGACAGAGCGCGGACACGCGGGGACAGCACCGTAAGATACACACACGCACACACACTCACACATAGCTCAACACACACACACTCAGGACGGCACCGATAGATAGATAGATAGATAGATAGATAGATAGATAGATAGATAGATAGATTTTTGTCACCCGTAGTCTCAAAGATACATTCTGCAACAAAAGAACAACAAAAGATGGTTCTTCAAAGGATCTTTAGTAAAGTGATTTGTTCTATTTAGAACCATGAATCTACATAGAACCCTTTTCATGATTAAATGGTTCTCTGCGCGGTGAAACGGCTCCTCAGATTGATGGAGAATGTGTTGCATATCGTTTTGTATAGCACCTGTTTGGTAATGGTTCTGTACAGCACCTAAAAGGGTTCTGTTATTGCTACGATGTCAAGCTTGTTACAACAGAAGAACCCTTTTAGGTGCTGTACAGAACCATTATCAAACAGGTGCTATATAGAACCATATACAACATTATCCATCAGTCTGAAGAACCATGCAAAGAACCCTGTAATCATCAAAGCCTGCTCTGAAGGTCCATCTGGGCTCAAACCTGTTCAAAACGCGTTAAAACAGAACTGGTTAACACAGACCTGCGCGCGCGAGTTCATGGAACTCCAGATGTGTAAATGTAATGATATGTGGTACAATAATGTTCCCTAAATAAAGATACTGAAGACGGAACCTTCTTCTGAGAGGATAGATAGATAGATAGATAGATAGATAGATAGATAGATAGATAGATAGATAGATCGTTTCAATTGGGCATTTCATACACAGTTCAACAGGCACTGCAAAATTGCCTATTTTACAAAAATAAAGGCAAAAATAAAATTATATATATATATATATATATATATATATATATATATATATATATATATATATATACTACAATGCTGTATATAAATGTATATAAAATAAACGCTGAAAATAAAATAGGAAATAGTACCTGAGTCTATATATATATATATCCAATATCAAATATATATATATAACACATATGGAAAAAAGAATATATACATCGAAACATATAAAGAGAATAGAAGGGGTGCATGTGGTTCTTTGAGCGATGCCATAGAAGGTTAGAACCATTTTGTTTCCCTAAAGAGATGTGTGAGTGCGAAGAACCTCCACATAATGAAAACGTTCTTCAAGCATTTAAATTATTTTTCCTAGAACCTTTACACCATGTGGAGGTTCTTCACTCTCACATCTCATTTATAAAAATGTTTCTCCTCTGACGTCACACCCAGACCCTTTCCTTTCATATGTACATATATACCATATATATAAGCGCACATGGATCAGTTTATAGATACACAGATCAGCCTTGTCTATCAGACTGACCGTACTGGCCGGTCGCTCACTGGTCATTATGGTTACCTCCACTGATACTGAGCACTGCAGAGTAACATCACTGCTGTTCACCATCATCACTACTACAACATCGTTTATGTTTATTCAGCCGGCGTCATTGGTGATAACTGATTAGTGTTTTTGATCAAACAGAGCGATCAGGCCGCGTGCGTGATCGATATCAAACACACACACACACAGTCAGAGAGACGCTGCGCGCACCATCGCCTCGCAGCCTGTACTGTAAATAAACAGCGATTTAAACTCAGATTTAATGTAATTAAGCAAACATGCATTTAAAACGCGGTTTAAATTAGCACGTATGGAAATACACACACACACACACACACACACACACCATTCTGCACCCACGAGCTAAAATATATTTTTTTTGGTGTTAAAATATGAAACCATTGTATTATTAACACATCTATTAACGTTAAAATGATTAGTGAAAAACGCAAAATCTCGTAATTTAAACGCAAAATAGACGTTTTTCTGCTTTAATCCGATATAATCTGATGTCATTGCAGTTCTCGAGGCGCAATAGTTTGTGTATAATAGTAGTAATAATCGTAATAAAACTAATAATAGCAATGTTGTTGATTAAAGCAGATAAAGTGTTTATTTCGCTTTTCAGTTACGAGATTTAGCATTTATCACAAATTCAACACCATTTTAACGTTAAAAATGGGTTAAAATACGTTTATAGTGACGTTCAATCAGTGAAAAGGCTAAATCTTGTAATTGAAAGTCAAAATCAACCTTTTTCTGCTTTAATCGAATATAATCTGACATCACAGCAGTTTATATGCTGTAGATAATAACAGTAATAATAGTAATAATAGTAATGGTGTTTATTAAAGCAGGATTTGGCCATTATATTCCATTATATTCCATTATATTCCATTATATTCCATTATATTCCACATCTGCTCTTCATTCTAATCTGGTAATCTGCCAGCGCTCCAGATCAGCTCTGAATGTGCAGACGGACTAAAACCGACCTGAAATATCGATAAAGGCGAATAAGTGTGACTGAAACGCATCGCAGCAGCGCGTCTGGGCTTTAAGGGGCGAGTTTGGGGGTCAGTTCTGCTGAGAAATATGATTAATTTGATATTTCTGATCGCAGTAAAAGTGAAGAGAGGCTGAGAGGCTGCAGATTAAACGCAGGATTAGAGATTAACAGTAAACACACAGCGGATCTAAACATGACTGTCTTAATGAGGAATGCGAAGGGCCGTTAATTACCCGGCACATATTTACATATTTAAATATTTACATTATTTAATTATGATCAAAATAAACAATCTCTGATACGAAACAGTGCAGATTTCAGCCTGAGTGTTCAGCATCAGCACCAACACCGATCACTGTTATTACTGTCGTTATTACAGTCGTTATTATTAGTATTATTAATTATTATTACTATTGTTTGAGTTATTGTTATTTATTTTTATTAGGGTCATTACTGTTATTAGACCTGTCAATATTTATTATCAGAGCTTTCATTTATAATTCAGAAAACGTTCTAAAGCTGCAGCGAGCGCGCGAGAGATGGCTCTTCAAGGGTTCTTTAGGAAATGAGGTCTGTATAGAACCATGTGCGTGCTTTGAATGGTTCTGTGCATGGTGAAAGCGTTCTGCAGATCGATGGGGGATGTACTGCACAGGCCTCTACACAGAACACTTTTGAAAATGGTTCTAGATAGACCAGTTTAAAAAGGGGTTCTTGGTTCTAAATAGAACCGTTGCTTTTACTAGAGAACACTTGGAGAACGTGTTTTTTTATGAGTGTATTATTATTATTATTATTATTATTATTATCAATAGTAATGTTAATTATGGTGCTTAAATGTTTGCATTGTGACTGAAATATTATTGTTGATTACTAAAATAGGTACATTAATACTGACACTAATGCCAACGCTAAATATTCATATTAATTTGAATATTAATCTGCAATATTAATGAATATTAATTAGTTTTTCCTCTCCCGTGTTTTTCTCACTGCTGAACGTTTACTTTCTATATTAATATCATTCAGTAGTTGAAAATCTCTATTATTAACATTTCTGTTGTTTGATCACGTGACTGAGCTACAGCGACCGTGCCTGATTATTTACTCCGTAATTAATTAACGAGGCCGTGATTAAAGGCGCGTGAGGATCCTCAGTGAGGTGCTGAGTGTTGGTTGTGGGTGCAGCTCCTTTATTCTCCGGCTCTTCTCACACTCAGTCTGACTGATTTCATTTCCGGTTTTGTGTTTTTTTTTTCTAATTAAAGGCGCTCGCGCTCTTCGGTGTTTCACTATTTTAGTGCATGTGCGCGCGCGCGTTTCTCTGTGTGTGTGTGTGTGAGCGTGTGTGTTCAGTATGTACAGGCTCGCGCCTGCGCTGCTGACTGTGTTACTGATTGTGAACGATAGAGCTTTTAAGCGCGCGCGCGGAGCTTTTACAAAATCTCACCGTTTAGACCAAATTAAGGCATTAATTAAACACGAAACATACTACACTCACATTCTCTTATTCCTCTTATTATTATTATTATTATTATTAGTCGTAGTAGTACTCATTAATAATAATAATAACAATGTGCATTATTCCTGTTAACGGCTTCTTCACCATTGTAGTAGCACTGTTATTACACAATTAATGAATAATAATAATAATAATAATAATAATAATAATATATGTATTCTTCATGTTTATCTGCTATTGTAATAATACCGTTATTACACAAGTAAAAAAAATACTACTAATAATAGTTTTTATTCTCCATATGTTCTGCATCATTACTGTTACTATCTATCTACAATTGTTATAACATGGTTATTATGTGTTATACGTAATAATTATTACATTTTTATTCTCTACATCGTCTCCATTGTTCCATTGTTAACAGTTTATCCACCGTTATTACACCTTAGAAATTATTACAACAATGTTTATTAGCGGGGTATTCCACATTATTCTTGTTAACGATTTATCTACTATTGTAATGACACTGTTATTGCATAAGGGATAATAGTAATGATCAGTTTATTCTACATGTATTCAGAATGTATTCCTACTAATGGTTGATCTATTAAGGAACTAACATACTAACACTCCTCCCCTCCTCCTCCTCCTCCTCCTCCCTCCTACTACTACTACTACTACTACTACTACTACTAATAATAATAATAATAATAATAATGTTTATTTCCCATGTTTTTTGCATGAATTCATATTAATGGTTTGTCTACTGTCGTAATACCACTGTTATTACACTGTTATATGTCACAATGTTAGTTACATACACTGAATTGTGACATAGTCTACAGTATGAGCTGGCAGTAACCCCCTCTATACACACACACACACACACACACACACACACACACACACACACATGCACACTCTCTCTCACACACAGAGTCTCAGTACTGTTGGTGGGAAAAGCTGGCAGAAGCTCAAAGTGGTTCCAGCTCTAAATCATCTAAATACCACCTTCACCCCCCCCCACTCTGCTCCCAACACACAGTGCATACACACACACACACACACACACACACACACACACACACACAAACACATGTATGCACTGTATGAATGTGAACAGCACTCAGTGGTGGCAGATGCACTGATTAGAATTTGAATAAAATGTGTTACATCAACACAGATTTTACCACAGGTAGCCATAATAATGATGAGAAGAAAACGAAGATGAAGAAAAAGAAGAAGAAGCTTTATTCGTATTGCAGCTTTCATGCAAACAATGCTTCACAGAGGCTTAGAGACGAAAAAGACACCATAAAAATGATAGAAAAATAAAATCATACAGGAACATAAAAGCAACGTAACCATAAAAATAAGAAACATAAACCAATAAAATGATCAATGATAAAGGTAAAAATGTAACAGAAATAACATTAACAAAGGTAAAATCAGCAACAATACAAATAGAAATAATAAAATAAAAATAATAAGAGCAAAGATAATTAATAAAATAAAAATAAGCCAAATAAAAACTACATTTTAAATTTCAGGTGCACAAAAACAAAGATCTGCCCCACTGATGGATCAATAGTGAATCTAATCAAAACGTTTACCGTATTTATTTCAGTGTATATGAAATAAATCAAACAGATAAGTAAATAGAATAAATGAAGTAAATGATTTAGTGTTTTTCTTCTCTCTGTTGATTTTAATGGTCATCTTTCTCTCTCTGTGTGTGTGTGTGTGTGTGTGTGTGTGTGTGTGTGTGTGTGTGTGTGTGTGCGTGTGTGTGTGTAGAGTTGCCGGAGTGTGCGGGCTGCAGTCAAACGATCCTGGATAAGTTCATCCTGAAGGTTTTGGACAGACACTGGCACGCTCAGTGTCTGAAATGTTCGGACTGTCACACGCTGCTGGCTGACCGCTGCTTCTCCCGCGCGGGGAGTGTGTACTGCAAGGAGGATTTCTTCAAGTAAGAAAACTTCTAAACTATCTAAACTGTCCATTAACCTGCTACAGACAGGCTAACACAGCTAACACACCCAAACCATCTAATGCATGCACTAACCCGTTAAAGCCAAACAGGCTTATTCCAGACAGCAGTGCAGACAGATATACTGTGTGTAGAAAGACAATTTGGCGGTGAAAAAAGTGTGTAACGGAGCGTATAAGGGTCTGTGAGGGTCTGTAATAGTGCGAGTGTGTGTGAAGGTGTATAATACTGTGTGAGGGAGTGTAATTGCGTGTGTGTGTAATGTGTGGGCGAGGGTGTCTATTGAAATTATGTAACAGGTGTAATGGTGTAATTGTGTGTAATAGTGTGTGATAGGGAGCGTGTAATTGTGCGTAATTGTGTGGTAGTGAGTTTGTGATGGAGAGTGTGGGATGTGAGAATGATAGTGTGGTGAGTGTGATAGTGAGTGTGTTACTGAATGTGTGAAAATGAATGTGTAATGGTGTGTCTGTGATAGTGAGTGTGTGATAGCAAATGTGTGATTGAGAGTGTGACAGTGAGTGTGTGAAGACAAGCCTATTATAGTAAGTGTGTGACGATGAGTGATACGGTGAGTGTTTTATAGTGAGTGTGTAATGGGAGTGTGTGACTGCTGAGTATATTAATGAGGGTGTGAAAATCAGAGTGTGATGCAGAGTGTGTGAGCATCAGGGTGAGATAGTGAGTGTGTGATGGTGAGTTTGTGATGTGAGTGTATTATAGTGAGTGCATGATGGTAAGTGTGATTGCAAGTGTGATAATAAGTGTATGAAAATCAGTGTGTTGTAGTGAGTGTACTTTAATAAGTGTGTAATGACAAGTGTGTGGTAGTGTTATGTGATTGTGAGAGTGTGACTGTGATGTGTGTGAAAGAGTGTGTGATAGTGACTGTGTGATAGTGAGTGTGTGATGAGTGTAATAGTAAATATGTGATATGAGTGTGTAATGATCAGTATGTGATAGTGAGTGTATGATGGTGTTTTATAGTGTGTATTGCTGAGTGTCATGAGTACGTGATAGTATGTGACAGTGAGTGTGTGTGGTAATGAGTGTCTGCTGGTGAGTGTGATGTGTTATGATGAGTGTGAGATGGTGGTGCATGTTAGTATATGACTGTAACTGTGTGATAGTGAGTATGTGATAGTGAGTGTGTGATGGTAAGCATGCGATGTTGTGTGTGATTGTGTCAGTGTGTGATGAGTGTTTGATGGTGAGTGTATGGTAGTGAGTGTATTATAGTGAATGTGTGATGTGAATGTGTGTGATAGTGGATGTCTTATAGTGAGTGTGATAGTGTGAAAGTGAGTGAGTGAGTGACGGTTTGTGTATTTCAGTAAGTGTGTCAGCGAGTATGTGATGGTGTGAGTGTGATGATGAGTGTGTGTAATGCTGAGTGTATACAGGCAGTGTGAAAGTAATTTTGTGATGGTGATTGTGGGCTAGTGTGATGGTGAGTGTCATGCTGCGTGATTGTGTGTGAAAATGCATAATTGTGTGTTATGGTGTGTGATGGTGTTGTTGAGGGTGTCTAGCAAAATTGTGCGACAGTGTGTAATGTGTGTAATTGTGTGTCATGGTGTGAAATATGTATAATGCTGTACAATGTGTGTAATGGTGTGCAATTGTGTGACAGTGAGTGTGATTAAGTGAATAGTAGTAAGTGTATGACAGTGAGTGTGTGATGGTGTTTGATGGTGTGTGTGACAGTGAGTGTATTGTGGCAAAGTGAGAACATAAAAATAATCATGGGCGCATAATAATGAATGCGTGGTAGTGAGTGTGTGTCTGTATGTGTGAGACGGTGTTTGACGGTGAGGGTGTGACAGTGAGTGTGTGACAGTGAGCGTGTGATGCTGAGTATGACAGTGAGTGTGATAGTAAATGCGTGAAGGTGTTTGATGGTGAGTGCATAACAGTGAGAGTGTGACAGTGAGCGTACAGTGGCATAGTGAGCGTATAATAATAATAATAGTGAGCGCATAATAATGAATGTTTGAAGGTGAGCGTGTGATGCTAAGTGTGATAGTGAGTGTACGGTGGCAAATGCGTGATAGTGAACGCATAACAATGAATGTGTGACTATCAATCAAGCAATTAAGGCCCAAAGACATCGTCATACTGAGGATGACTACCACCACCTAGCTAACATTCTAGCTACACATATTATACACAACACACGACTGTTTACCTCACAATTAACTGGCTTTTCAGTCAGTTTTCACAACTGACAGAATACACAGCAGGTAAAGGCCAATTCTCTAGAGTCCCTCCTTTTACAGCACTAGGAGTAGATGTTTAAAGCGAATGTTGAAGATTATGATGTTCTCATCATTTTTCAGTACTGATCTGTTTTCTTTACTACCAGCTGACAGCAAAGTGTTTTCATTGGCATCAGAGAACGTTTTATTTAAATGAGCAGAAATCTGGGGGTGCTGGCTTTCAAGCAGAGGGGCTGAGGCCGACTGAGCTCTGCTGCTTTTTATGGCTGTGGAGACTTAATGGTGATTCACCTGAAATATATTCCTGAAATATCTGAGCAGCAGCAAAAGCTTCCTTTGTCTTTCCATCTGATCTCATCGTTGTTCATGAGAAATCACAGAGATATTAAAGTGGTCTATTTTTTATATATGAATGTACATATAAATATATCGCTGTTGTCGGAAGAAAACCTCATATCTCCAAAAGGGTAACTTTCCAGGAGAAGAAAAAAACGTACTTTACTTTTAATGTAAGTCAATGGAAACATACTTTTTTTAAGTCATTTTGGGTCATTTCTTTTAGTCCATTCATCATGAAATTTATACAAAATATCCAGGGCAACAGGTACTTTCACATTATGTCAAAAACTAGAAAATGTCAAAAACGGAGATACGAGGTTTTCTTCTGACAGCAGCGAATATATATATATATATATTACTGTGGGCTGGTGTGGCGTGGTGGGATGTGTGTGGTTCTCCCGGTTCACGGTGTGATGAGTCACTGGCTGAATGTTCTTCACTCTCTGGCGGAGTGACAGAGTTTCTGCAGCAGAACCATCACTCTCTCTCTGATTAGAGTGTGCAAACGCTGACTGCACACACTGCCAGCCAAAACACTCACAGCACTTCAGCATGGAAATACAGAGTGGACCGCTTTATTACCACTGTGTGTGGGGGGGGGCATTTAGCTCCAATCATGAACCACGCAGAGCTGCACTGTCCTGCTTTGTGTATACAGCACTGTGCAAAAGTCAGAGACCCCCCTGCATTTATTTCGATTCCAACAAAACAGACTTTAAATACAAAAAAGCAGAAAATATATTTAATAACTAAATCTAATCTCAGCTGTGTGAGTCAGTGAGTCACTCTTCACCCTTATTTCAGCTTCCATTCTTTTCAGGAGACTCACTTTCAGCTCCTCAAAGAATCTGCAGACACACCTCCAAAGTTCAGTCTTACACTCTCACAAAAGATGGTTCTTCAGGCGTTCTTTAGCAAAGACAATGGTTTTGTATAGAACCAGGAACACGCAAAGAACCATTTGCATGCTTAAGGGCTTCCTTGAATGGTGAAACGGTTCTTCAGATTGATGGAAAAAGGTTCTATATAGAATCGTTTTGGAAATGGTTCTGTATATAACCAAGAAGCGTTCCTCTATTGTATAAAAGCTTGACATCATAACAAAAGCAGAATTCTTTTTGGTGCTTTATAGAACCATTTACAACACGTTCCCCATCAATCCGAAGGAATTCACCATGCAAAGAACGCTTTTAGCCTTCAAATGGTTCTTTGAGTGTTCATGGTTCTATAAAGAACCAGCATTTTACTAAAAAACCCATGAAGAACCTTTTTTAAGAGTGTAGAACCACTTGCATGCTTAAATGTTCTTCAAATTGATTGAGAATGTGTTGTGTATGGTTCTGTATAAAACCTTTTTGAAAATGGTTCTATATGGCACCAAAAAGGGTTCTTCTACTGTAGACAAGCTAGACATCAAAACAATAGCAGAATTCTTTTTGGTGCTATATAGAACCTTTTACAACACGTTCCCCATCAATCTGAAGAACTTCACCATGCAAAGAACGCTTTTAGCCTGGTTCATGTTTCTATGTAGATCCACTGTCTTTACTACAGAACCCTTAAAGAACCATCTTTTTTAAGAGGGTAGAAGTTGGTTGATCATTTTCTGAAGTAATCCCAAAAGCTTTCAGCGATGTTGAGGGCTGGACTCTGGGGTGGTCAGTGGAAATTTGTGTTTTTTGTATATCAAAACTCTTCATTCATTTCCACAGGATAATTTTCCAGCCTCCCCATTTCTCCTCTCTTTGTTGTTGGGCCTTTAAGACTGACGTATGTAAATGAGCTCTGTTCTGCTTGTCTTGTATTGCATCACACAAAAAGCAAACTAGGCCAAAACACTGCTTAGAACTTCAGTGTGAGTGGGCGGGGCTGAACTGCCACAGGATGTGTGTAAAATGTGTTTGTATTTGTGACGTCATAGAAACAAAAAAATCACAGTTGGCTGTTTTCGCAGATCAGTTTCGATATATGGAAAAGGGAGACAGTACGTTTTAAAAGTTTAACAACGTTTACATGCTTTTGTGGTCACTACAGTTCACTAAAACTAAAACTAGCAGTGAAAAAAGTGCTTATTAACTGCACTGTAGAAAGTGGCTCAGAAACAGTATAAACAGTAGAAGCCATATCGCCCCCTACACTTCCTGTAGTGTATTACAGTCTGTCAGAGTGACTGTGTGGATCATATGAACATTATAGAGGCTTTTTAAATGAAACAGTAGAAGCCATATCGCCCCCTACACTTCCTGTAGTGTATTACAGTCTGTCAGAGTGACTGTGTGGATCATATGAACATTATAGAGGCTTTTAAAATGAAACAGTAGAAGCCATATCGCCCCCTACACTTCCTGTAGTGTATTACAGTCTGTCAGAGTGACTGTGTGGATCATATGAACATTATAGAGGCTTTTTAAATGAAACAGT